AGGAGTGGAGTTTGACTTGAACATCGGATTTGTGAAAAAGCGAGACGAGAAACAAAGGGAGGGGAAGACGGGTTCGTCGTTGGGGCCAGTGGTAAAGCGTGGCTGCTGTTCTGAGGAGTTTGGCCTGAGGTAGTCTATAGGTCTGGGAGGAGGGGAGTGGTGTGGATCAACAAGGAAGTGGCCAGACAGACCCCTGAGTGTTCTTGGGTGGGGATGTTGGCTTATTTCTCCGCCTTACATTCTTGAGATGTTTTGGAAGATTCTTGTAAATGTCCTGTTGGGTGGCATTTCGGTGTTTGTTTCTTTAAACGACTTAGCTGCCTTAGCTAGTGAAGGAAGGGTCTTTGAGAAAGGAGGCCATTTCTTGACATCCTGTTTTCTGTCACTACTGTTGAGGAGAGGTAAAGCCAAGCCTGGCTTATAGAACGCTTTCAGCGCGAGACAAGCGCTCCTCTGTTCCTGTCCCAGTGCTACAGTGAGGCCATTCAGGCCTCGGGACCGAGAAGATAACATGGCACGCTCATTGAATCGTTTTCTATTTACCTTCCTATTTTGTTCCGTCATTAAACGGTGTTAGAATTGAACATTAGGACTCTCTTTTCTGGCCAAAAGAAAACACCAGTGGCTTGTGGACTGCAATATTGACTCACACAGATGCTTCCAAAGGAGTAGAAAGTGCTGGCCGTGCGTCCGCAGAGAGGAGCTGGTGCCACATGCCGCAGCTGCCCCTCCCGCATGCAGGCTCTGCGCCCAGAGGACATCGTAAATCACTTGTAATTTATGATGAGCCCGAGCGTGTGTTACACCCTGCTAGTTGGCTGGTGTCCTGTACACATGATGACTGCCCTTTTCCAGCACATACAGGGGCCTTTTTCAGATGAGCCATAGGATGGAGAGCTGAGGCTTTTCCCCTCAGCTGGCCCAGCCAAAGAGTAGAGGAAGGAGAAGACAGAAGACTCTTGTTCTTCGAGTTCTGCCACAAGCCTCACTTGCTTTCTCCTAGATGGGAGGTAGGAAAGGGGCAGCAAGCAAGACCATTATCATTATTAGCCTATTTTCTTTTATTCGTCTATTCAACAAACACCCCTATCTTCTGAGTGCCAACCACCTGCAAGGCACTGTTGGGGAGACAGCAGTAAGCAACACAGGGTTGTGATTCTCGTCAAGACTACACTGACACAAAGGAGTAGGTTCTGTGTCAGGAGGTGATGACATATTTTGCAGGGTAGGAAGATGGATAAAGACAGGAAGGGGAACAAGTTATTCCACACTGGGTGTGTAGGAAGTGGATTTCCAATAAGGGAACCCGGAAGAAAGTGATAGAGTAAGCCAGTGGATTCTGGGGAAATTGCATCCAAGATAAGGGCAGAGGCTACCATGCAGGGGCCCAGCTGGGGGTCGGAGGGGCTGGAGCAGAGAGAGCCAGGAGGGAGTGGTAAGGAGGGAGACAGATGAGGGAGGACTGACCTATGGCTCATCTGGACACCATGCCAAGGAGCTGAGATATTATTGAATGTGAGCTAGGCAGCCAGAGGGAGTTTTTGGAAGGTTGATCCTTTCAAATACTTAAGGAACCAGAGTCTAAGCATGAAGTCAGGAAAACGGGGACCGCACACCCTTCACACCTTCGAGGAGTGTGTGCTATTGTCATCAGGATTGGACTGTCAGACATCTACCTCACGCAGTGCAGAGTGTGGAACAGAAACTCTAGTTTTGCTCGACCTGGTGTAAAAACCACGCATGCTTTTTAAATTGGGATACAAGTGAGTAACCATGAGCCATGCACACAACTGGTGGGAATACTTTTCGTGGACAGACCTCGCCACCTCATCCCGGGACGAGTGTCCTGCGAAACCTCTTCTCCAGCATCCGGCAGTGGTTATGCTACAGCTGTGAGCGGTGCTCCCAGCATCCTCGCTGTTCTTGCAAAGATTGGCATGAGCTTCGGAGTCAAAGAGCAGATACTTAGGTCAGATTCTAGGAGGCGTCAGCAACCCGCTTTGCTCTCGGTGAACACGGATGGAGCTCACGCTGTTTTCCATGCACAAATGTCTTAGTCTAGTCTAGAGCTATGGGGGGCATGAGCTTGGTTAAGGTGATTTCGACTCCTTATGAGGAATATCTTTCTAAAAATGAGGGAGATGGATTGTAGAGGGGGCTCCACCATAGCGCCCATCCTGCCTCTACGTGTGTGCAAGCAGGTGAGCACGTCTCAGGAAAGTTCCTGAAATGACTCTTGTTTTGTGTGGCTGTTGGACTAGAATGAACTCTCAGATTCATTCCGATGCAAAACCTTTCCGAGCCTATGAAAGTGTTCGGTGAATGTGCTCTGCAAACATACAGACACTATATAAACAGGAGGCAAATATTTTAGAAGATGAAGAGTGAAATACTTGTTCTTCTGGGAGAGCCGTGGTTGGAACTTAGTGCCCTAACAACATACCTTCCACGCTCAGTTGCCTGCAGTTTGTTCTCATTGGCCCCAAACACAGTTATCTGCTTTATGTGTTAAAAATGTGCTCAGCCAAAGACCAAACAAATAGCCAGAGGCATTTTCCTATCAGGGCCCTGTTTGTAGGAGGTAGAGCCAAGGAACAAAGCTGTGGGTTTTGAGTCTTGGCAGGAAGCCAAGCTGCTGCTTGAAAGCTCCAGGATTTACCAGGAAGAAAGAGGAGGGATTTTTAGCTGAGATTAAGTTGGAATTAAAGCAGCAGAAAATTTAAAGGTAAAATTAAAGCCTGCTCTGGAATCCATGATGGAAAGGCAGAAGCAGTCTGGGCTCTAAGAGGGTTTTTCAGAGCAAGAATGAAGATTTTGAAAGGTGCTTAACGCAGAGCTTACAGAAGGGCCTTGATTAATGATACAGGGTCCCACAGCATTTGAGCTGGGTGAGCGTCCTTTAGGGATCATCGAATCTCGTCCCTCGGTTTCCAGATAACGGATCAGGAGCCCTGGAACTTGCAGAGGCTGCCCGCTGTCACACAACTATTGTGGAAGTTCTGGTGCTAGAATCTAGGACTCCTGACAACCATTTTGTGGTTTCGGCCCCTTTACAGAAGCAGCGAACAATTGAAAGTTGTTTCCAAAGAGCAAGAGGCAGACGCCACAATGACTGCATTCTGCAGTGCAGTTGGCTCCCAGGATGTGGCCTCATCCCCAGGCCCAGGGTGTCACCTGCATCCTCAGACTTAGCAGCATGGCGTCTGTCTCCCCACCCCAGCAGTAGGGGATGCGGCCTGGAAGAGGCCTGCCTCCCCTCAGAGCCCCAGTCAAGCTTGAATGGGTCTGTAGGCTCCAGGGGAGACTGCCCTGGTCAGGGCCCTCTAACCACCTGCACAATCTCGGCAGCCTCCCCCAGTGTCACTGTGGGTGTTGCTGTTTGCTTCCTGCGCTGACAGGGGTTCCCTCCTCTTTGACCAAAGCCTGAGCAAATCGAAGCTGTAGGTAAATAGCAGCTCTCTTTTTGCCTAAAAGAACTCCCATAAAAGAACAGGCCCCGCTGCCCCGCCCCCCCACTCGCAGATAACTTTGCCCACTGAGATCACCAGCATCTAAGTGAGCTGTTGTTACTTCCTTCTGGAAGGGTGGGTAGAGGTGGGGGTGGAAGGGGAACCTAAAGGAACAGGGGACGCTTCTGTGTTTTTCTCCATTTGAACCTGTAAGATGTTATCCTCCCCCCCCACCCCCCCCACTATTTCTTTATTTGCTTATTCATTAATTTTCTGGTTGTTTTACATTCTGATTCTATCCAAAAATTTTTGACAAAACCTAGAACAAAGAGCACAAAGGCGGTCAATAGAATATAAATGAAGTCAGGTCACTGAGGGACGAGGGGGAAACAGATTTCCCCGTGAATTGTCATATGAAATCTGTGTTAAATATCAACTTTTACCCTGGCCTTTCTGGCAACCAGGTTAAAAAATAAATACACCAATTCTAGTTATCAGAAAGGAAAAATGTTCAAATTTCTTCAAGAGAGACTAAGTGTTGCTATTCTGGGGCTCATGGTGTTACTAAACAATTATTGAGGACTTTCTGGTGCCTAATACATAGCTCCCAGCCCCAGAGCACCCCTCCCTTCTTCCTCCCTTCCAATGGTCCTTGCTTCAGGCCACCTGGAGCCCCCTCCCTCTCCGCCCCCAACAAAAAACATGTTCTTAGTGTTATCATTGGCTCTGTTTTTGTGTGTCAGGGCATGGCTTGGGGTAATTGTGTTGTCCAGGGTGTCTCTAGGACTTGCAGATTAGAAGGTCTGGAGTTGGAATTGTAGAGAGTGTCAGAATCCAGTCCTACTGTGGCTCCCCAGGGTACCTGTCCTTCCCCAAAGAGCCCTTTGCTACATCAGGGTGCTGTTTTGAACAGGGTGTAACTGGAATTTAGATTCTTCCAGAAGAAAGAATAAGCAGTGTTGAGAGTCCCACCCCTTTGCATGACTCGACTTCATCTTCCTAAGACGGGATAGGTGGGGGGATATAAGAACACTATATAATTTTCTAATATGGCAAGGAAAAGAGTTACAGAAATCTGATGTGTTGCACTTTTATAATAGGATGTGTGAGAGAAAAAACACTGAAAAAGTCATCTCTTCTCTCTGGGTTACCCGAATGTTTACTGAAAGTTTGCTTACTTGTTGATTTTTACTGTAAATATACATATTCTCTATATACATTTTATGTTCATGAAAACCTAAGTTTTAGAATGCATCATTACTAAAGAAAGAAACACTTGGAAGTGAGAAGTAGTTGATGTGAAGTAATTTCTCTGGATTCTTGGCCCATCACCATCATTTGAAGACCAGACCCAGTAGCTGGGTTTCAGACCAAGGGCTCTGGTCATTGCCCTTGTCCTCATTATGTTGACTGCAATCACTTGTTGTGCTAGACAACGAGACAAACTGGGGTTTGAGTCCTCCCGTGAACAGAATGAATGTACTTGGAATGTTTTTCATAATTATTTTGAGCAATGACTTGATTCTTACATGTGCTTATTCTTTTTAAAAGTATTAGAAAGGAAGATATCCACAAGACAAAGTAGAGAGGAGCTGATAAGAAGGGGAGTTCTTAAGGAATTGCCTGATCAAGGTGAGGAACTTAATCATGCATTTAAAATAATTTGATCCTTCCTTCTTTGGTCCTTCTTTCATTTTCCTTTGAAACTTAAGATGATCGTGGTCTTTGGGAGATAAAGCAGTGAGGGCAGCCCTACGGGAATCTTGCTTTAATTCAGAATGCCTTTGTGGGCTGCAATGAATCTAAGGTCTTCTGGAAAAGAAATTCAATTACCTTTTTGGTGAATCCTCACCTTTTATCACTCTAAACCTAAAGCTCTACAAAGGTACCCTGTAGCTGGAGAAACAGATAAAGATACAAATACTTATGGGACTGCTTCTTATCTCTACTGTTGAGCTTAGGTCTTTCCATGCAAGTTAACTCAGTTTGCGTAAGTGCCGAGGTTAGCTTGGCTCCTGAGTTGGGTTTCTTAAGTCTACCAGTAAAAGTGAAGAGAGAGAAAAGAGATGATAAACATACCTCTCTTGTCCTTTATAATGCACTCAAATGTACAATCAATAAGGCATGAATGGGCAAATTAAGTTAATTAGCTTTATCATTCTCTCAAGTAATTTTTTGTTCTCATTTCTTTGGATCTGTCTCTCACCTTTTCACTAACAATTATTTCCAGGTATTTTTTTCTACCTCTATCTGCTTCCCTTTTTTTCTCTATTCTCCTAAAAAGATAAGAATTAGGTGGAAACTGAGATAGACTCTCAAAAGATTGGTTATTTCTTCAAGTAAATAATACTGTATAATTTTCATTGCTCCCACTACTATTGAAACTGAATAAATTTTTTGTTCCAACATTGTTTTTTTCCTCCTGCCTTCCCCCTCCCTAACATTTACTGGGGTAAATTGTTATTATTATACTTTTATAGGAACAAATAATAAGCTATTAAATTGGAGCTCTTCTCCTGATCTATGTTCCTTGCAAGGAAATTAACATCTTTTGGCATTCACTACTTATAAATCCAAATGACACGCTTTTTCCAATGTCTGAATAATCCAAGTGGAGCTAGGAAATGTTTTACTATTTTATTCTTGCTTCAAAGAAAACAGGGAAGTCTGGAGTGAATACTACTTTTTTTTAAGCCTCACAATTTTAGGTATTTTACTTTGATTTCTGGCCTGTTATATATTTCTCCACTCCATTTTATGAATGAATTTCGTCTTCCCTAATTTTCTATTACTTTGAAGCTACTTATTTCCTGCCTGGGACTTTTAAAAATTAAAAATACACATCCTTAATTCTTTTTTCCTTGAAGGTCAGCTCACAGTATAAAAATTTGTCTCCTCTCTAATCTCTCTGGAGGCAGGAGAGGAGTTTCAAATCCACTGACAGCTGAGTGCGGCCTGGTCACCTCTATTTCAATATTATAAAAAGGAAAATAAATGAAAATTTATGATTGAAACTGTCAATGAATATTAAAGATAGAGATTAAAGTCCCATTTTTTATCTAATTAAAAATTGTAGCTAGGAAAG